GAATTATTAATAGTCATTAATGAAGCACCATATTGTTTTACTTGTTTTACTTATAAGGACCATTTTTATCCCCATTTTATGGGTTAAGAAACTGAGTGCATGAGAAGTTACATAGCAATATGTAGTGGAGACAGGATTCACACGCAAATCTATCTGATCAAGATCCAAACTCTTGCCATTATACTATAGGTTTTTTTTTCAAAATTTGGGATCAAAGCAAGTTTATACCCATTGGCAATTAATATGTTAATGCTACTGCAGACAACATCTATTACTGTTTACTTACATTGCATTTTAAATTCATTTGAAATATTGGCCTTTCAGCTGTGTCTATAAAAAGTGTTTCTCTCTTTATATAGGGTTGTGACACACAGATGATTTATGACATGTTGTTAAGATTGAAATCCACTGTTTATTTACCTGGTGACTTTGTCTGCAAAAAGGTGAGTGCGTGCTGTTTTTCAAATGCACAACTAATAAATGCACTTGAGGATTTCAGGTCAAGTGCATAGTTTAAACAAAATTTGTCCAGGGTGAATTCCAGAGCATAGAAATAATTATGACATACAGCTCTGTAAAACAATAATGTGCTCTCAGAGTTCAAAATGGAACAAGACAATATGGATTTCATTACTTATAGAAGTGTGAGTAGTCCGGAAAGCTCCTTTGTATAAATGTAAATTATCGATTGTCACACCCCATTAATTCCAAATATTTAAAGTAGAGGAAAAAGTTACAGAGTGATGGGTGGTTCTGCCCTTTTTATGTCTTTGACAAAATATCAGTTACCTCCATTTTGCTCACCCAAATAGTAAATGATTAATGCCATATTTTTTAAAACTTTATTGTGCTTTTTATGATTATAAAAATAATACATGTTCATTATTTTTAAAATGGAAAACACATAAAAACACAAAGGTATAAATTCCACCATCCAGAAATAAGCACTATTAATATATTTCGGCCTATTTTTTTACAGAAATTGATGGATGGACAGAGCTTGTTTTATAACATTGGTATCATATTGAAAATATGTTTTGAAACTTGTTTTGTCATGTCACAATATATCATATGAACATTTTATATATTATTAAGTAATCTTATACAACCCATTTTTTTAAAGCAGCATGATATTCCAGCCTATGGATGTATCATAATCAATTTTCAAATGTTTGCTATTATAAATAACTCTACAATGAACATCCCCTTGGATACTATTTTTGTACATCTCTAATCACTAACTTAAGGGAGGGAGAGAAGGAATGATGACTCCTGGTTTTATATCTTGAGACTAAATCAAGATGAAGTCCATAATAGAAATTAAAAATAGTGGAAGATGCGCAGTGTAAAGAAATGTGAGGTGATCCAAGATCTTGGTGAATTCGCAAGTGAGTGAGGATGAGAAGCACTTTTATCACTACAAAACAATGTGTTAAGTGCTATGGTCAAAGTAAGCACAAGCTGCTGTAGAACATAAAGTAGGGGCACTTCACCCTCCTGGGTACTGGCAAAATTTCCTAGAGAAGATGATGTCCGACCTGTGTCTTGCAAAAATGAATTGGAGTGAACCATGTGAAAGAGGAACTAGGTGTTCTGGATAGAGGAAAGAAATAGCACGAGCTAAGGCCAAAAGGAAGGAACTGTGTCTGCAGAGGGGGTGCAGAGAACTACAATAAGGCAAATGTTAGAACAATTTTAGTATGATTTATTTAATACAAGTCAATAAATATTTTTCAATTCTATGAGCTAGGAACTGAGCAAAAGATGGTTCTTGCCCTCCAGGGGTTTACCGTTTAGTGCCGCGGTGTTCAGTTCAGTGTGTATCAGAATCACCTGAATGGAGAAGTCTGGGCTTCACCTCCAGTGATTCAGTTGGTCTGGATGGAGCCCACATACCAGTATTTTTTGAAAGCTACTGTATGATTCTAAAATGCAGCCAAAATTGAGAACCACTGGCCTGATGGAAGAGATAAGAAATAAGTGATATTAAATAAATGCATAACTCCAAAATGTGTTAAGCTGCATAAAGGGAAAATACAAGTTGTTCAAAGAGTATGTAGTGACAAAGGCACTTAATTTAGATTCAGGATTGGGAGATGGAGAGGTTGTTAGATTGTCAGGCATGACCTTTGTAAAACCTAAATTAAAATAGTTCTTCAGTTTAAAAAAAAAAAAAGTGGACAAGGCAGCTTTTTTGATGAAAACTTGGAGCCATGAACCAAGAGGCAAGACAGATCTTGGAACATCCAAGGGACAGAAGCAAGTTCCAGCGGCTAAAAGCAAAGCCAAATAGAGTGTGAGGCGCTTCGAGGCATCAGGTGGCGGTGCCAGGTGCACAGGTGGAAATCAGTCTAATGAGACAGGATGGAACTGGAGGTAAATGTTTGGGAACCGGAACATAACAGAAGGTGACTTCAAGAGAAGTTCAAGGATCCCAAGCTCAAGGAAGAGAAGAGGGCCGTGACTATAACTTTAAAGAATACTTTTGGGCCAGGCGCGGTGGCTCACACCTGTAATGCTAGCACTGTAATGCCAGCTGCTGTAATGCCAGCACTCTGGGAGGCCGAGGCGGGCGGATTGTTTGAGCTCAGGAGTTCGAAACCAGCCTGAGCAAGAGCGAGACCCCGTCTCTACTAAAATTAGAAAGAAATTAATTGGACAACTAAAAATATATAGAAAAAATTAGCCAGGCATGGTGACACATGCCTGTAGTCCCAGCTACTCGGGAGGCTGAGGCAGGAGGATCGCTTGAGCCCAGGAGTTTGAGGTTGCTGTGAGCTAGGCTGATGCCACGGCACTCACTCTAGCCCAGGCAACACAGTGAGACTCTGCCTCAAAAAAAAAAAAAGAAGAATACTTTTATGGAAGAGATCAATAAACAAGAATCAGAGAGGGCAACTTAGAAGGAGCTGTCAGAGATAAAAGAGAAGGCGAGATTGTGATAAAATGGAAACCAAGATTTACAGTCCCACGCAAATTAGTCCAAGTTAAAGTAAACAGATTGGTGATATAAAATCACATTATTTAAATGGGAAATACAAGCCCCCTGCAGGTTAAGGACCCCTTTGGTGCAGGGGTGCATTAGAATGACATGACTTGAACGCACCAAAATGACCTTTCCCATTTGTGCCAATAGCAGCAGGGACTAAAAATTGAGATCACTCATACGAAGTTTAGCACCCATTCCCTGAAACAGTGCAAATTAGCTTAACAAAGTGTGAAATGCAGAGTATCTGCAGCCTTCTCCTTTCTAATTTCTTCTTCATATCACGTTCACCACTCAATGACAAAAACCCATCAGTGAAGACAAATGAGTCAAAGGAAGGAATGATAAGGGGAAAGAGCAGAAATGAGAACGCACCAGAACTACAAGTCACATTTGTTTTGTTTTTGTTTTTAAGAGGGGACTTACATGATAGTAGATATTGTCAGACAAAAAAGGCTATTTCTTGACCAGATTTTAGACAGCTGAATTCAGCTTGGTTTTTGCTTATTCTTTTCACAAAATATTTTAGGAAAGGGGAAGAAAAACAATTATATTCAATTTGAGGTTACTAAATAATCGAAGAAATGGCAGGGTTTGGGACTGAGTTTGCTGACCCGCCTAATCCTCAGGATGGTTCCTAAACTTACTGGTGGGTAGCTTGGACTGCTTGAAAGGGTTTTTGGGAATTTTCTCAGAATACTCCATGACAGTGTAGGAATCACCTAGAGCTCTTGCTAAAGCACAGATTCTGGGACCTCATTCCCAGAGATTCTGACCCATATTTCTGCAGTGAGAATTCTCAGTGGACCGAGAATTTGCACCTCTCAACAAGCTCCTAAGTGATGCTGATGCTGCTGACCCAGAAGCCACACTTTGAATAGCACGGCTGTTTTCTGATGGGGTGCACCTGAGTGTCATAATGCCCCCCTAGCCTTGGAAATAGCCTCCTACACAGTACCCCTGAAATTTTGAAGTGCCCTCTTTCTAAGGATTACTTCACTCTGCATGAAGCTCTTGCTTTTGTACAGTTTCTCCAGATTAGTCCAGACACCAACCACAAGAGCTTGGTTCAATCTTATTTTACACATGCTGTCAGCCCTTGTTCTCTGAGGAATGTCTACTTCATTTGAATGCTAATTAAACTTGCAGGAAAGGATTAAATTAGCCTAGAAATATGCAAGAAATAGTGGAAGTTTTGGTTCGTTGATTATGCCAGATCTCCTTGGAAAATTATTAAAATGATCGTTAAAAAATAATTAAAAGTGCTGAACTATATTTAAGTACCCATTATGCACTTCTACCTCCAGTCAGTTGTAATAACTGCCTTTGAAGAATCATTCCAGTTCCTTGAGAATTACTTCATGCAAAGAATAAGGAATATGACCTATCCTAATCATTGCTTCCTGGAATATCTCTTGCAAAACTAATTTTCAGACACTTTGCCTTATTTTCAAAATCATTCATAACTATTTTATTGGTTTTTAAGAGATCAGTCTTCATATTGGAGTCATCGTTAGATGTGGTCCAACTGCATGTATTAATATTGTACAAAGTCAAGCAACACAGGTGCTGCTAGTTCTAGTGTATCACCTGCCAGCCTTGTAAGTTTGCTCAAGACACTCAATTTTTTAAGCCTGTACTACCAATTTTTAAATAAGAGTAATGATACCTTTTTTATTTGACTTCACTGGGATTTTTGCAAGAATTAAATGTGTCAATATCTATGAAATGCTTTGCCGTTATAAAGTAGTATGTTCTGACAGAACAAATACAGGAATTAAAACAAGGAGCTATGTCAACATCAGATATATTATGATTTTAAAAGTACTATGCAAAGGCAAATAACTATAAAAAAATCCATCTATATTACAATTTCTACTCTGATCTGTTTTTGAATATAAGTCTATGCTTAATATTTTGCACAATGCAAAACTTAAACATACTTCTTGTATTGCTCAGTTAAGAAATGTGGGTTCCAGCTTCCTTTTGCTCCTAATTTCAGAGTCATGGAAATTTGGCTGGTCGGCTAAGCCAATCCATGCCTTTGTTTTTCTCTCTACAAAATGAAAATAACAATACTTATTCTGTGTGCTTCATAAGGGTATCAGGAAGATAAAATGAGAATTTCAATTTCTTGGTTGTTAACTAAGAGCTAGAGTCTGATTAACTTTAAATTCAACCTGACAATTATAAAACAACAATAATTGATGTTCGGAAAAATAAACCTAGGTATTAAAGGACATTAAAACTTCCCAGAGAACAGTTAAATTTTACTTCCTTCATTCATAAATGAGTATCTACTATATGTCAAGCCTTGTGCTCAGCACTGGGACAAAGCAGACATTGTTTCAACCATCTCAGAGCATAAATTATAATCAATATTGTTTAATCCTGAGTTGATTTTAGTGTATTCTAATCCTTTGAAAGTGTGGTTAATGAGAATATTTGATTAATTCAAATAACCCAGTCCCTTCATAAACCAAGGGAGTGAATTTATTGTATTCATGCTATTTTTTTTTATAGCTGAGGGTGATCAAGACGCTACTCATCCAGACAAGCAGGTACTGCTATCCAAATACTTTGCCTGGTATTATGCAAACTGGCCTGTTTGGAGTTTAACAGCCTTTCTTGACCTAAATGCCATTTAGAACTCCTGTAAGACACATTTATTCTTTTTTGGAAATTGGAGCGAGAAAATGTGTTTCAAGGGCCTCATATTCACCTACTAGTTTGGTGATTTGCTTGTAAGGACTCACACAATTCGACATAAAGCTATGTTTATGGCTTAAGATTTATTCCAGCAAAGAATACAGTGCTGTGACAGGAAGGAAAATATATACATGGGGGAAGATAGAGGAATCAGTGCAAGATTCCTAGGTCCTATTTCTGTGAGGATCACATGGATGCATTATTCTTTGCAGTGGACTGCAAAGACATGAGGAAAATATCTCCACCCTAGGAAGCCCAAGTGAGTCTTGGATCTAGAGTTCTTAAATGGGGTTGGTCATGTAGCTGCATGACCAGGCATGATTCAGACTTCAAACTAGGTGCTAGGTACACATCACAAATCTTTGTGTTTACATTAAACAATACTGACAGCTTGGTATATCCTGCCACACTGCCTCAGGGATACAGAATAACACCATTAGCCAGTGGCTATGTGAACATTCCAAGAGTTTAATTCTCAAAGCTTGAACAAGGGTCATTGCCCTGGCTCTAAGAGTTCCCAAAGTTAAGCAAAAACTGAGTAAAACAACCTGCAGCATTAACACTTCCTCTCCATATGAAATAAGAATAATAGCTTAAAAATTTCCTATGCCCCAGTTCCCAAAAATGAGATCTCAATGCCATCGGCAGAAGAACAGAATTGACCTTTGAATGGCTGCAGACTGGGCCCTTTGGATAGGCCAACCACCTTCTTCAAAGTGTAGTAGTGGTCACCAAGCCAGGCTTGCCTGTGCTTACAATCACTTACTTCGTCCACCCATACTCCTTCCTGGAGCAATGTGCTAACTGAAATGTCTTCAGGTGTCCAGTGGTGGCACACAGTGCTCACAGGCTGAGAAGAATCACCTTCCTAATCATTTTCTTTCACATGATATGTCCAACCAATGTCTGCCAACTACCTCAGGTCTTAAGATAATTACTTGTACATTGATGCCCCTTGCTTCCTTCACTTACTCCTCTAGAAGAGTTTGTATTTCTTAATGTGGGGTATAATTGTCAAGAATACAATGACTATCGTTTCCTCTTTCTATCTGGCAAATAGGGAGAAATTGGCAAGGAAATGCACATCATCAAACAAGGAGAAGTCCAAGTCCTCGGAGGCCCCGATGGTGCTCAAGTTCTGGTCACTCTGAAAGCTGGGGCCGTGTTTGGAGAAATCAGGTATCTGAAAGACATCTCATAAATATTGAAGACTGTCATTTGTCACAAAAGAAAAATCTTAGGTCATAAAATAAGTAAAGTTCCTGCTCAAATTTATTAAAGGTTTGATTGTGCTGGAAACATTGGTAAAATAAGGATTTTCACATTTCTATTCATTTCTTCTTTTCCCTTCCCCCAAAATACCTGAAGAAAGGGACTGGGTCATTCAGCTCTTTAGTCCAGGACTGAGGCCAATGCCTGGCATAAGATAGGTGCTTAATATACATTGAATGGATATGTAAATCAATGAATGAATAATAAGAGAAAAGGTTGGGAGCATTGGTGGTTGTCAGATCATTGGAAGACTTGAATGCTTTGCTAACAAGAAGGTCTTGAGTAGGTTAGTGCTGTGATCACAGTTGTGGGGTCAAATTGCCCGAGTCTAAACTCCAATATCACCACTTACTAGCTTTATTCCTCTCTTACCTGATTCCTCTGTTCCTCAGTTCCCTCATCTTAATAATTAGGATAATAGTACATATCTTAGAGGGTTGGTATATGACTTAATTCATTAAAAGCACTTAGAATAGTGTCCATGATCTATTAAGAGCTCAATAAATATTAACTATTGTTACCATTATTTCCTATTGACCAGGAGAAGTTTATCCTAGAACAAGTACGTCCCCAAGAGTAAAAACATAGACAAGAAATTTAAGCATTCCATGGGCTAAACACTTCCATATGCATTATTGCATTTAAACTTACTCATTGTTCAACTAAAAAATACTCATTGAGTGCCTAGTACATGCTAGATTGTTAGGTATTGCTTTAAATTCTGGGAATACACTGTAAAAACAGTAGACGAGATATCACCCCTCACAGAGCTTACAGTCTAGTTGGGGGAAACTGACAATAATAGTTAAACAATTAAGTAGACAAGATAAATCACATTGTGGTAACTGCTATGAACGCAAAAAATTGTTAGAAAGTGATGGGAGATGCTACTTAGATACAGTGGTCAGGGACGACCTCTCTGTACAGACAATATGTGACCTGAGACTCGCATGAGTAAATGGAGCAGCCATTCAGAAATGGGGGGAAAGCCTCTCAGGTGATGGAACAGCAACGGTAAGGGCCTCGAGGTACAGCAAGCTTGTGTGGCCAAGGGGAAGGATGGAGTACAGTGAATAAGGACTCTGTCGGGAGATGAGGCCAAAGAGGTCAGCAAGGGCCAGATTACACATAGTCTATTTGGCCGTGATAAGGAATTTCACGGCCAGTATTTATTCTAAATACAGATGGGTGCCGGTAGAGGGCTTGAGGTAAAAGGATGGTACAATCTGAATTGTGACTTTAAAAGACCCCTCCAACAGCCCTGTGGAGCAAGAATGAAATAGAGGAGAACCAGCTGGAAGTGAGCAGCAGAGTTCCAGTGAAAGACGATGATGTCTTGAATTAGGACGCTGGTCTTAAAGTGGAAAGAAGAGTGCACTGTCAGGCAGTTATTAATTTTTCATTTCACAACTGAGAAAATTGCTATTCCAAGGTGCAAGTACTGTATCTTGCCCAGGATAACATAGCTAATAAGTGATAGGAACAACACATAAACCTGAGTCTTCATGGATCGTGGTCCAATGATCTTTCCACCACACAGCAGAAGAAAGGTATTCACCCAACCTCTAATTTCATAGCTGCTAAGAAGTTATCTTCACATTCCAAGAGATATGGATAATTTCAGATGACTTCATACTAGCATAATTAGGGTTTCTGTAGAATGTTGAAACATGTAATTTCTCTGTTCATAATGTGGCTTCTCTTCTTAATTTTTTCTTCTTGCTTAACAAGTGATTGCTGTTAAGGTGATCCTGTGAGGGTCCTGCTCTGGGGCAGTGGTGGAAACACATCTCAGAACGTCCAAGACCTTAGTTCTTTGCCTATTTCCTATCACCTCCTTACTGGGAGTCCTTGCAAAAGTGATTTAATGTTTTGTGACTTAATAATCACTGTAATCTTCAAGGTCATAAAACATGCAACAGTCTAATCTGAAACATTGCAGAAATTAATTAGCTGACCTCATCCAAGGGTTGAGTACTCCCTGAAGAATAAAGCTTTATAAATACAAGTATGTTAATTGCTGATATTATCATCACAGAGAGAACTGCCCTAGGAATAGAATCTAGGTGCTGCTGAGTTGCTACTGAAAGCAATCCCAGATTCCTGGCAGCAGCTTCTCAAACAAATCTCCTCTTATCCATGTGGTTTCTGAGGCCAAATTGAAACCAGTAGACCAGACAAGTTTGAAACTTGCTCAATAGTCTGGTTGATTCAAGCAAAAGGGAGCTTTTTGCGCCTTGATTCTCTTCTTGGCTGTGGTTGAAGAGAAACAGGATGTATCTGCCTCTTCCCAGATACCCACAGGCTTCACAGGGCCACAGCTGTCATACGCCCCTGGAGCTCTAGTCATTTATTCCAGAGATAGAGACACGTTTGCCAAACATCCAGATACTGGAAAGATCTAGTAATAGTGTTTACTACTCAAAAATGCTGTGACCTTTGTTAAAATGAGCTAAATCCAGCACTATCACATGGCTTTTTAAAGAAGATTCTTTTTCCTTAGGGAAAAAAAAAAAATAGGAAAGAAAAATGTGAGGGCTTTCAAGGACATTATATATTAATCCAAAAGAGCAAAGCCCTGACTAAAATATAGATTTACAGCCTGTCACAGAGAAAACCCAGACCACATTTCCAATTAACATCTGAAGAGTGCAGACACCCCATTTTTAAAAGAGAGACCCAGGGTCTGCCAAGGGACAGCCTCGCGGTGGCTCTGACTGCATCATTTCCCTTGCATGTACATGTGGTGCCAAGTCTTATTCACTGAATGTATTTAACCACTTCCTATCTGCCTTCTGCCTCTGTTAAAATGTCATTTTTCTCGAAACACATCTCAATTTTTACTCCTGTATTGCCATTATGATTTCAATAGGATTCTCTATTAGATTCATGTCTCTTTGGAATATCCTCCTCCTGGAAAATTCTCATATTTCAAATGGCATCTTTTTCAAGCCATCTCTAACCCTCAGAACAACTAGTTGCTCTCTGTCCCATGCTTCCCTAGTATTTCTTTTATGCCTTTATTATAGTAATTACTTCAGATTTATAATGAATTTGTTCAGACATGTCTCTCCAACAGACTGAGCTATGAAAATACAAGAACTAGAATTTACCCATCTTTATATCATCAGCAGCCACATAAAAACCACACAATAAGTGGTGATTTTTATTTATATCTTGCCTTCATTCAAAAACAATTTGCAGCAGCTATTAAGCAATTTTTAATTAATTAAGTAGTTCATTAGGATTTGAGAGAAACAAAAGAAAATTATATTGGGGACCTCTGACAACATAATGTGAAGTGCTTTAAAGAAGATTGTGTATCCCTTTGCCAGGCACAGTTCTGGCCATGAGGGTACAGAGGCGAACAAGAAACAGTCACTTCCCTCATGGGTCTTACAAACAAGTGAGACAAATAAACAAAAGACTTCAACATCAGGCGATTCAATGTATGGGTTGCGTCCAAGGAGGAAGGTACGTATAGGATGCTGTGGAGCACAAAGGCTTCACAAGAGCTAATGTATCCTTTAGCAATTACTTGAGGTTATTTGGGAACTGAAGGCAGAAACTTCAGTGCTCCTCAAATGATGTTTGGTAACAATGATGTGTGCACACAGGTCAGTCCTGGTAGCTCCTGCCATGAGGTGTGTAAAGGATTATTCGCATGATGCCTCTAGTGGGTTGAATAGTGGCCCCAGAAAGATACGTCCACATCCTAACCTTAGGAACCTGTAAATATGACCTTATTTGGAAAAAAGGTCTTTGCAGATGTAATTAAGGATCTCAACATGAGATCATCCTGGATTATCTGAATGGGCCTCAAATCTGATGACAGTGTCCTTATAAAAGACAGCAGGGAAAAGAGGAGAAGGCCATGTGAAGACTGAGGCAGACATTGCAGTAATATAGCCACAGCCGCCAAATGCCTGGTGCCACCAGAAGCTAAAAGAGGCAAGGAAGGATTTTTCACTACAGTCATTAGAGGAAGCACAGCCCTGCTGCACCTTGATTTTGGACTTTTGGTCTCCGGAACTGTGAGAGAATAAATTTCTGTGGTTGTAGCCCATTTGTTTTGTGAGCATTTGTTACAGCAGGAACAATACAATGCTAGGAAACTAATGCAGTAACAAACTCTTTAAATTGTTAACTTTTGAAATTTTACTGGGGATAAAAAAGGCATGCTTGACACCTCCCTCTACTTCGCCCTTCATGACCAATCTACCTCCAAGACCTGTCGATCTCACCTCCTAAGTATGTCTCGAATCATTTGTATCTTACCTTCTCCACGGCCACCACTTCGGTCCAACCACCTCCCTCTCTCACTGAACAACTGCAGTGGTCTACTGCAAGTTGCCCACTCCCATAACCACATCCTCCACAATCTACACTCCACTCTGCAGCCAGAGGGATCTTTTAGAAACACAGACCTGATCATGTTACTGCCCTCCTGCTTAGAACTACTCAATACTTTCATGCTGTTTTTATTCCTAAGAATAAAATTCTTTTCCTGACCTACAAGATCCTGCAGAATCTAGCCCCTGCCTACCTCTCTACTTCAAGTTGCACCCGAATCCCCTTGCTCTCTTTAATCTAAACATCCTGCTCTCTCTCATTTCCTTGAATGTGCAACACTCCATCTAGCCACAGGGAGTTTTTTCGCACATGATGTTACCTCTGCCTAGATGCTTTCACCAACCCTCTACCTAGATCTCAGCTCCTTTCAGGCCTTCTTGGATTCCCCATGATAGGGACCTCCCAGGTCTCCTTTCTGTATGCTTTTGTCCAACTATATTCCTTTCTTTTGGAGCACTTACTTTTGTAACTCTACAGGCATTAGTGCATTTATTTCTTCCATGTTTCTCTTCCTTCCGAAATTGCAGGCACCAGAACTACCACATATGGCTGTG